TGAGCGGAAGCTATGAGCGGAAGCTATGAGCGGAAGCTATGAGCGGAAGCTATGAGCGGAAGCTATGAGCGGAAGCTATGAGCGGAAGCTATGAGCAGAAGCTATGAGCGGAAGCTATGAGCGGAAGCTATGAGCGGAAGCTATGAGCGGAAGCTATGAGCGGAAGCTATGAGCAGGCGCCATACTATCAGCAGAAGCCTCCGTATCAGCAGCGAGCTTTCGTATCAGCGGACGCCTTATCAGCGGCTCGTATCAGTAGCTCGTATTAGCTGCTCATATCACTGTCCTCCATATCAGCATCCTCTGTATCAGGATCCTCCTTATCAGCGGCTCATCTGTATCACCGTATCAGCAAACACCGTATCAGCAGACACTGTATCAGCAGACACCGTATCAGCGAGCATCCATATTGTGATCGGATAATCTGTATCAGCATCCTCCGTATTAGTGAGCCTCCGTATCAGGAGCTTCCGTATCAGTGAGCCTCCGTATCAGTGAGCCTCCATATCAGTGTGCCTCCATATCAGTGGCTTGTATCAGCGGCTCGTATCAGCGGCTCGTATCAGCGGATTGTATCAGCAAGCCTCCGTATCATCAGGAAGCCTCCGTATCAGCAGCAAGCCTCCGTATCAGGGGAAGCATCCGTATCAGCATCCTCCGTATAAGCATCCTGTGTATAAGCAAGCCTTTGTATCAGCCAACATCCATATCAGCATCCTCCGCATCAGCATCCTCTGTATCAGCATTCTCCGTATCAGTGGCTCATATCAGCAGACGCTGTATCAGCAGAAGCCTTCGTATCAGCGGAAGCCTCTGTATCAGTGAGCCTCTGTATCACCAGTAGCTTCTCCGTGTCCAATTTTTGAAGGAAATAGTGATCAAATAACGTGTTATTTTGCACCTCCATACTGAGTTGCATTTGGTCATTCCCCTTAATCAAGATATGACCAATTTTCGTTGTATTATTGCATTCTACTGCAGTATTCAATGGTTGAGAATGCAACTAAAAAGCTACTGGACGGTTGGTAGGCAAGAAAAAGAAGTACCATACCCTGTAGAAAATTACTGTAGAAAAAAAAGCAATACGGTCTCAAAAATAGGAGTATGGTTGTGAGTATGCGGCTATTTGGGGGTCATAGGGTTATGTAGTAGGAATTTTTGGTGCCTTTGAGGCAATTATGATAATGCAATTTTAGTTGCATTTTGTGTATACAGTAGTAGGACATACCATACAATTACTTACTGGGTACCGTCTGTATCAGTTTTGCGCTACTAAAAATTATGGTCACACCAAAGTGTTGCTAATATCATACTTGGTACTCGGTCCTCAGGAACCCAAGCGCCCAATCCCCCCTTTTGAACTCCACCAATTGTTACTAGGCATAAAATAACAATTGAAAGTTAATTGAGGCATTGGGAACATCATACCAAATTTGAATTTAACGTTTGGAATGTTAAATTTATGGTGTACTAGGCCTATGTAGATCCTAGTATTATCCACATTCTTCAATTGGTAGCAAAACAGTCTTGCACAATGTGCCTAAAAAGGAAGAAGTGATCTAAAAAAGAGGAAGAAGAGGAGGCCTCCCCTGCTAATATTCAGACTGTTAAGCAAAGCATTCAGGACGTTAAATTGAAGCAAAAAATACAGTACTCATTTCTACAGAGCCTACGCTGGTAACAATTGGAATGTTAAATTAATGTTCCCAATGCCTCAATTAATGTAGTTTCAATTGTTATTTTACACATAGTAGTACAGTAATTCCACTGGGTTTATTGGTTCACTCCCAATAACATATTGGTTGATTCCCTTTATTCTAAAATTTCTAAATTTGATAGACTGACAGACCAAAAATTTAGAGCACGGTGTGACTCTCTGGACTTTCCRTATTTACGTATCAGTACTACTACGCGTTGCAGATCAATTGAAACTAGTACATTTCGCAGGGCAATCCCAATCTTTATTTAACATTCCGAATGTTAGAAATAACATTCCAAATGTTTATTTAAYGCATGGAATGTTAAATTAAGATAGGCCTACATAGATCCTAGTATTATCCACATTCTTCCTTTGGTAGCAAAACAATTCTTTCAGTCTTGTACATGCCTAGTACTACTAAAGAGGAAGAAGGCATCTAAAAAAGAGGAAAACGAGGATGCCTCTGCTCCTAACTTTCAGACAGTTAAGCAGGGCATTCAGGTCGTTAAATTGAAGCAAAAACCACAGTACTCATTTCTACATAGGCTACACTGTTAGTAACATTCAGAATGTTAAATTAACATTGGGAACACCCTGTGAAAAGTAGTTTCAATTGATCCGCAACATGTAGTAATAGAGATCATACATCAAAAATATGGGTGTTGGGTGCCCATTAATTCAAAAAATCATATTCCATTCTTGGTCCAAAAATTAAAAAATCAGCTCAAGAAATTTTTTAATTCTAATTTTTCCTGTATAATGGGTGATTCCTGTTATTATAGAAATGCTAAATTTGATGGACAGACAGACCAAAAATCTATCACATGTTGTTATAGATTTAGCATTTTTAGAATGGGTCGTTGGATCCCTTTCTAAATGTGCTAGATCTATGATGGAATCAAGAATCAAAATTTTGAGTCTGTTGTATGATTCAACCAAAAGCCCTGACGGTACCTACCCAGACCTCTTTTTAGTCATTGCAAACTATTAAAGATTCCAGATTCTCAAAAAGACTGAGATGAAGCCTGCCTTGCTTGCTGTCTGTCCCTTGAAATTTTGATTCCTGATATTATAAATTGCTAAAAATGATTTAGCATTCTATGATAACAGGGGGAGGAATCACCCAATAGTACTACACGTGTTGAGGTACATTAAACAAAAACTGGGTCTTTCTGTATGAAAATAATCCATCTGTACCTCTTGTCGATGGCTATTGTAAAATTTTAAAAATCATACCATCCCCAAATATAAGCYTACTTTGACCATCATTCCCTAATTTCTTTTTTTCTCTCATCACCAACAGTCATTTCACTTGAGTGAATTATTCTTCATTTTTTAGTTTTTCACTTTTCATTTTTGACTTTTTTGGTTTCTTTTTTCATATCTCTATCATTGTTGTTTCATTCATTCGTTTCTGGTGAGGGGTGCACTTCAATAAACACACTTCATCAATCCTCCTTGCCACACACTCCAATTTACCTTTTCATTCTTTTTTTTCAATCATGGTCACTGTAGCAACTGTCCTTACTATTTGGTTCTGGCACCCATCCTCTGTTGAACAATACAGGAAGAAATGTGTACATTTTGCTTCCTGCTCCACAAAAAAGGGCGCCCTGATTAAGGACCTTTGATTGTACTGCTTCAATCATTAGGGTGTCACATTAACATGGTCTTCAAGAACATTGGGAAAACCTAATTTGAGGTCTCGCTCTTTCCAGTGCAAATGTTGTGAAATTTTTTATATAACTGTAACAAGGTTATCAAAGGATGACAGTAATCGGATTCTGACACCACAGGAAGTTTCTCATCTGGAAAGTCACAAGCAGCCACTAGACTATCCATCCAAGTCATATACTGATGTCCTTCTCCATTTCCCCCCTCTTCAACTTTTTCTTCAACAAGTATACCTTTTCCACCCCCAGCAGTCTTCAATGAAAAACCCAGATTTGCTTCTATTGGTTTTGTTCTGGAAGGTAAGACAAACATGTCTACTGCAGTTCAATTTGGAAATGTAAAAACTTCTTGTGACAAGTACATTGAAATGCACAATCTTCCTCGGCACTTTTGCACTTTGTCTTATTATTTGCAAGCATTAGCAGAGACCAACCCATTGATGACTGTGGTGCTCCAGGCTGACTCTTCCAATTGCTTCTTCCAGTGTTTTGTTACCACACCTATTGCCTCACCTCAATTTTTTGGTATGTTAACAACACACTTCTTTGTTGGCAATTATTATCATGTTAAAGAACCAACTTATGATGGTGTTTGTTTTGTGCTTGTTACAGAGATATCCTTTGGTCAGATTATACCGCTTGCCTGGGCTCTAATTCCATGAGAGAATACTTCCCATCTATCCTGGGTATTACAACTGTGTTGGAAGCATGGTTTGTGTGTGCACAAACACACTTTTTTTACGGACCAAGGACCACTGGTGTCTACTTTCAACATTATTTTCTTTAAAAGTTTTCCATATCCTTCCACATGTCACTTGGCCTCCAGCAGTGTCTCATTCAGTCCATTTGGCACAAGAAGTTTAAGGATCTTTTCCCAGTGGTTACCAGACAATCACCTAAAAAACATTGGATTTTCGAATGTGACAGCATTCTACAACAATACATTCACTCAAGCAATTCAACTACTTCTGCCAAGTACTTTGATGAACTTATTGAGTTATATATTCACAACCTTGTATCACCCACCGCTATTMAATCCCCTCCAAAATACAACTCAAGAACAAAACAAATGCTAAAAGGAGGGGTTCAAATGGAGAGTTGTCTTAGAACTTTTCCTCTCCAAGCTCACGAAAAAAAAAACAAGAGAGAAGGTGGTTATGACTTTTCATATACGGCTGGTATCATCAAAGAAATGTGTAGAGAGGTTAATTTATCCATCCAAATTCAAATGAATTGGATACAAAATACATAAGAGGTAATGGCCATTGAGACCGCAGCTTTCATAATAAATGGGGACAGGAATACACCTTCCAATATTTTCTTCCTACTCTTCCTCTTGTATCTTCATTCTATGATTGTATACCAATACACAGCCCCATACAAACCTGGCCAACAACCCATCCTAGTAGATGCCTAATGAAAATAGGCTTTTTGAAAAGCAAGGGGTTTGGATCAGAATCATGAAGAGTTTGATCTAGTATTCTTTTCCAAATTGCATAGATTGTGATTGAAACAAGTTGTCACCTTTTATGTCCAGAGGCGACTGCATTTTGCTCCTTACGACCTTTTAAAGACAATCTCCTAAGAGCATCAAGAAACTACTCCAGGTATTAAATGTAGTACATTAAATTTCCTCAGCTAGAAGCTCCTTGATGCGAGCCTTCTTGCTGACCATGTCAACTCCAAACTTGGCCGTGGCGGTATGAACAGCATCTTTTGTAGTTGCAGTTTCCATGTCGATACAAACAATATATGCCTTCACCCATTGTCGCATAGCACTATCGCTAGGAAACTTTCCCTTTTTGTAATCCCTTATCAATGAAAATGGGTCTTCAGGAAGATTTCCTCCCGCTCTCTTCTGTTGCTTAGGAACGGCTTTTTTCTGTTTCTCTGACGAGATCGTTTTCTTCAGCAAGCTTTCATCAGGTTCACCCAAAAAGTCCAAAAGACGATCAATCACGTCATCCTTTTTCAAAGGTTTCCCATTTTCATCATTGTAATCGACACCGAAAAAGGTACAGAGCGTCTTGATTTGATTCAAATTCATTCGGAAGGCTTTTGTTGCATATTTCGTCTTCATCAATTTACGAGCGGTTTAGAAAATGAAAGACGTGCTGATTGAAAATGGATTTCACTTAAAGTCAAATGACGACCTCCAGAGAACGAGCAGGCACACTCACCTCAAAAACTTCGTCTTTTTCGTCTTGCTGCTCCTTATTATATTTACCCTTCGGCAGCGGAGGAAGATAACCACTAAATTCCAATAACTTTGATTTCATTGCCTTCTTATTCGCTGTGCCGCGATTCGAAAAAACAAATTTGTAGGCAAATAAGAGCTCTTCTGTGTTGAGTTTATACTTGTTCATGCTAGACTTTACCGCTGGGATGTCCCCTAATTTTTTCCCACGTCCTTTAGGAACCGACGATAATTTCAGGGTATGGTTATGCGATGCCATTGTGAAATCATCAGGTTCGTAACTTTTTGATTCACGACGCTTTCGTTTACCCCTGCCACTACCTCCACCGACGTCTTCAACCTCATCTTCTTCACCGTCATCGTCGACCATTGTATCTTCTAGCTTCTTCAAAGCCGCTTCATTCTTTTTCTTGGTAGGCATGATTTCCGATGCCTCTACTTAATTGTGCTGTCACGGGCGGGAGTCAAGATAGTATTGATGTCTTGCAACAATATCTAGAATACGAGTTCGATCCTTGTAGATGTACCCTACTACGGTACGAGTATTCGTACGAGTTGAACCTCAACGCTCATCATCGGAAGGATACACGCATTGGAATCCTAGATCGAAGCGCGATAATTCGGGTTAGTACTGCTGCAACAGTTCTTGTACGTACCACAAAACGATAGTCTGGGGTCATGACTTGCTAGAGGGATAATTAATAGACGTCCCCCACGGGCTTAATGACCGCAATATGACTCAACAAGGAAATTTCCAATTTTGACTTTTGAGGGCCCTCAATTAATATTTTTCTCAAACAAAATAGTTTCCACTGGCCAGCAGATGGACACCCT